GATGACAGCCGTTAATCGCTGTAGTTTGTCGCTGCCCGTGTGTCGAGCCCTTTAGACATAGACATGTTTGTATCTACAGAAACAGAAACTTGGCTCCAAGCTGGTAAAAACCATTTCTATGAACACTCAAGACAGTCAAAGGTAAAACTATGTAAGTGAAAGTTTTGTTGTTTTATCACTACATTTATCACAGGGTTCTGTGTGTTGTATTCATGATTAAATGCAGCAAAAATAAACTATTTCAAAGGTAACAGATATTTGTAATACTTGGTTTATATAATGACTAATTGCTGGATTTGGACACAGCTAATGTGTAAGTGATGTTAGCAAAGCTAGCTCGCTAACCTTAGCGATCTGCCTCTGTGCCAGATTTTTTTACCCGACCCTCACACAGACATTTATTAAACATTAGCTACATGTTAGTGTAGCTACCTGTGTGCAGAATACTTTTTTTAACAGCACTAAGGTTTATTTTTTCTGGTTTTGGCTCGCTCTCGACTGAAACGCTCGTTTGTGCTAATCGGAAATATTGTACGAGTGTGATTGAGTTTTCAAACTTACTTATGGAAGAACAATACAATTGACAGATTTTAACGTGTTATGGAGAGCTGTTTCATTCAAAATTAAATAAATAAATAATGTAATTAATAAAGTATTAATAAATATTCCATCAAATAAATAAATGTCCCTGTGAAATGAAACAAAATCAATAAAATTATAATAAATTTTTTAGCATGTCTTTTTATTTATTTTATATTATTTTGTTTTGAATGAAACAGCTCTGCGTAGCGTGCAGCCTCTAACTGCTTTGTTTGGTTCTTATCACTCTGAGAGGCCGCCCAAATGTGCTGTAGGCCTTTTCTGAGTCCAGTATTCACATTTTTACCTATAATTTACAGGTTTTATAAGAACATAACTCCTGCAAAATCAGCACATCGTTGTACGAACAAAGGATCTATGTATGCCAGGTCCAGACCTCCACAGGGTCCCTTTAAGTTTCACAGATATCCTGGTTCTGTTCAGGGCAGCCCAGCGCTCTGAAAGAAGGCGGAGCTTAGTTCTCATGAAGACGGACCTCCTCCCCACATTTTGACCCAGCAGAGAGGCAGACGAAGGGTGGGGGTGTAAAAAATAAAAAAATAAGCAGAAAAACACTAAGGAGCTCAATACTTTCATCTTTAAGTCACATTAATCACTTTTTTTTACATTGTGCTTTTAGAGTCGGATTGTTTTACAGAAAGTGAAAATTTCACTAAAACCTGTGAAAGATCAAACAAAAGCTTCAGCCAATCAGGCGACCCGGTTTAATAATTTAGATTAAATCAGTTAGACGGAGGCCAAAATCTAAAAAGATCTTTTTCTGAGACCCTTTGTGGTCGGTGGGTTACACACCAAGATACCGCACAGCCCTGTGACTACCTGTCACCTTTTAAACACACCTTACTTTAACATTTACCTGTAACTGCAGTTAAATTAATTTTTTTTTAATTGGAATGGGTTTTTTGTCATTTTTCAAATATATTGAATAAAAATCTCTGGGTCAAATAAAGCTTTAACAAGCCGAATTTGGCCCCCGGACCATGAATTTGACACGTTTTCAGGAGAACTTTAGCTTCTTTTTCTAAGGAGTTTTATATCTGAGGCTCTAGATTCACCAGACTTTTTAAATTTTTTTAATTTTTGCAACTAAAGATGAAATTATTTCCCGCAGAATAATTGATGACTTGATTAATCCGCTCTACAAAACTCACTTCCTGTATTTGTAAAGTCATGCTGTCAACTGCAGCTGGAATTTAAAATGCCTCATAGTCTTTTTTTATTAAATTTTTTGCAAACTTTAAGAACCTGTTTGATCGTGTTTTAATGTTTTAAGGCTTTAAATTCAGCATCATTCATGTTTCTGATTAAAACAAACTGCAGCGCCTCTAAAGCTGCCACTTTCACAAAAATAAATAAATAAATAAAAACACCAATAAATACAAATATAATCATGTCGGAACAATTTTTTATCTGTACAAACTCGGCTAAACTTACATAGTTAATATCATCGCAAACACAAAAAGGCAAAAATGGAACCGAACGCAGCTGCATGACGAGCAAATATTTTGTTTTTTTCCCAACTCAAGTCGTAAATGAAACAATCTGCTCAAACTCGGAGCTAAACGAGGACATGAAAATAAAAAACTAAATGTTTCAGCAGAACTCTGTGAAGCCGTTACTCCCACAGCAGCTACATTTAAAAACTTTCATCGTTTTAGACTCGAATCGAGTTGAACACAGATCAAGATCTATGCTGGCGTTTTTAAGTCCGTCGTGGTTAATTTTTCTAAAAACTTTGAATTGATCGTCTGTAAGGCGGCCGTCAGATGCTTCCAGGTTTCCTGAGATTACAAACTAATCTGACGTGTTTCGGCTGATGTGAGGGTAACGCCGTCGGCTACAAACTCTTCCTGTTTTCAGAAACGAGGGGCTCATGAAGGGGATGAGCAGAACGGGAAGGAAAATTGAAAAAGGCTTCTTTTTCAGAAGGGCAACCCCAAATAAAAAAAAAAGCTGCTACATGGGGAAAAAGTCGACCTCTAATTCCTCGCTACGTGACGAACTCCACCTAAAAGTGACTCGAAGCTACTTGAGTTTTCTCTGCAGATGATGCCGCTCATTTTGCACCGTGTAAACATGTACTTACAAAAAGGAGCAGGGGGAGGGGGCGGGGTCAGTAAACAGATCGGAGGGGGGGGTTAGTGGGAAGTGTTCAGGAGTCTTGGCGTGTAGTCGACAGTCTTCATGCTCAGTCTCGGTTTACGCTGCACCAGGCGGCTGCAGACAGAGAGGAAAGTTTCAGACGACTCTGCTCGTTATTTTTTACATTTTAAAAATCAGTCTGACAAATATATTGTTTCTGATGAGCCCCGCTCTCTGACTTCTTCCCCGACATGTTGACATCTGTCAATCAATCATCGCCCACAGGCTCTGATAGAAGTTGCTTCATAATTACCAGCTTGTTTCTGACAAATGTCCACGTATGATCAGTTATGTAACATGTCATCATACACACACACACACACACACACACACACACACACACACACACACAC